TGGGGATTTCACACGGCCGTGTGGCATGGCGGTGTGATCGGCCAGAACTGGGTTCTTAACCCAATTTCGGGTCTTTTGAGAGGGGAGACGATTTTCCAGAGCAAAAGCAGAGTCCTAGAGAGAGAAAGTACGAAGTACAAACCTTAGCGGTGATTTTGGAGTTGGGTTTCATCAATCAAGATTGGATTTCATCCTCGGAGTGAAGATTATCATCCCAGAGCAGATTCTTCCCATTGATATGAGTATGACTGCTTTGTATTCTGTTTTCCTCTCTCTCTCTCTCTCTCTCTCTCTCTCTATGGAGTAGAACTCTCTCTCACTTGGGTATGAAGAACCCTAGTTCCATGTGTTAGGGATATTGATTGTAATGACTTTTGGATTGGTATACTGTGTGATTATAATCGATTGATGCATGATTCATTAAGTCAATTGAAGCCTGGTCAACTTTTCTTGATTTCTGCTGCAACCTGAGATAGATAGAATCTGATTAGGTTGTTAGAGCTTCTTCAATCGGTAGTAGTGAATCGATTATACGAGAGTTAGTCGATTCACTGCTTTGTACTGGAATCCAATTCCAGTAGTGGAGTTCTGTGTTAATTGCCTCAACGTTCTATCCTGGTGAAGACTAGTAGTCTGCTGGGTAGTCTGTCTGAGAGGGCTTGGTCAGCTTAAGAGATTTCAAGCTACTGTCGGATCTTCCGCAGTTTAATCAACAGTAAATCAATCCAAGGAAATTACAACTTTGACCTAACTAAGGAGGTAGGGGGACTCATTCTCGAGTGACTCTTCCCTTGCTTAAGAAATTCGAACTATTTCCTGCTTTCTTACTGCTTTTGTTTTCAATCACTCTCACTACACTTAGTCCCGCTAAATAACAGGTAGTCACGGAGTAGGCAGTAGATCCAGACCCCGGGTTGATAAATTGAACTTGCCACTATTCTGCATTTCCATTCTGCGATTGCACTTGGTCGCAGTTTGGTGTTGTGTTTTAGCGTGTCAAGAGTCAGAATACCGCCGGTAACTGAAGGAAAAGATGTCAAAAATACCAACATGGTGAACAACATGGCTATGTCCAAGACTACATCAACATCAAACGTATTATCCAACACCCACATGTTGAAGATCATATCATCAACAACCAAAAGATAGAACACGCCCTAACAACACGTTTGTGTTATCCCCCGTGTTCACAATTGTGCGTCCCCAATTGAAGCCACGACAGCAAAATGTTATTCTATCAATGTGGGGAGACAACAAGTCCATGTTACAAACCGTGTTCTCCACCGGACCATGTTACACATTTATTCCACATGGGAACGAGCATTTACGTCATTGCCGGTTGATGTGACTAACACGATGGAAGAAAACGACCATTTCCATGTCGTGTCAACCTAATACAGCGCAATCCAAGCGAGGAACCGATAGAATTTTGCAACTATCAATGCACACGGCCAGGAACACGACCATGTTCACTGACCACGTTAACTAAAAAACGACTAATCAATTTCTGTAACACTGGCCACATGGATTGCTCGACCCGATACGAACACGGTCTGGAATACGATCGTGTTTCCAGGTCGTGTACGAGCTACTGCTACCTATAAATTGAAGTTTGGAAGAGAAGAAAATCACACCACACACCCTACTTCTATACTTTGTTCTTCCTTTCTTGTGTTTGAAGTTAGCCGAAACTCTGTCCATTTCCATTCCAAACTCTTGTTACTTCTTTTCGTTTCATTAATCATATATTGTATTTCATCCATCATGGTTCTCATGTGCGTGTTCGTAATTGGGAAGACCATGGTACATTCCTTTATTGAGATTACCGAAGTAGGCTTCTGTTCTGTGGGGATTTGATAATCATTTGTGGTGGTAGATTGGTCGGTTTCCACTGTCTTCGCCCAACGATTATCCCCATGTCGGAAGTTTACTAGGTGTAATCTATTAACTCAATATTTATATACTGTAGAAGGCATCATATGTATGTATATATATTGTATTCTCGACCACTTTGTTCTTCGTCAATGTCATCATCATGGTAATGTTCTCAACCTTCATCTTTCTAAATCTCATCATGTCCGGCTAATCTTCTAGTTGTTCCAGATTTGATGAACCCTTATATGTTTTACATGGATTGAGTGGTATCTTTGATATAGACGTGTTGTTCTCATTATTACGATCTTTTCTCGACTTATCATGTGCAAGTATCTATAGTACGTGTCTATTGTATATTTTATCTGATGCATGCAAATGAGACTGTGAGGTGATTTCGCATGTTAGATCTCTCGTGAAAAGAAGGAATTGATCGGAGCCACCGGCGATGGGTTCACGTAGTTCCTCTGGATTAGATTAAAAACCTAATATGAAAATTCACAAGTCTAGTTAATGAATTGGTTTAAGAGTCTTGTAAGCCAAGGTTTCACTTGATTCTTAAGTCGAAAGGGTGTTAATACATGTGCGAACAGGTTAACACTAAATTTGAATTTTTCACGGTCTAAGATAAGAACACTCATCTATGTCAAATTCATCTCGTCTGTAAAACACATATTAAGGGGATTCACTTCCGGGACAACGTCTTCTCCACTTGATTTAACTTTGAAAACTACTCTATTGTGTTTTTATCATTGCGTGTCTTTTATATCTGAACAAAATCACGAAAAACGATTGGCTAAATAATGGGTAAAAGCCGAATACTAGTACATATAGTCAATGTGGATACGACCTTGCTTTCTGCTATACTACCCTAGAACGATAGGTACTCGTGCCTATTTTTTCTGTGTTAGTTACAGGCGATCACTCCCCCATCCCAGCAATATTTAATGGAAAGTTCTTAGCTCCAACTTCGGTTGGAGGCAGAAGCTCCAACCAAGCCACATGTCAGCTTTTTATTAGTGAGTTCATCTTTCTTTTTTATATTTTAATTCTTGATTTATTTAGCATAATTAACAATATTAAATATTAAAAAAATGAAGGTAAGTACATCGATTGAAAATTGACATGTGGATGATTGAAGCTTCTGCATCCAACCAAGGTTGGAGCTAAGAATTTTTCTTAATTAATGGGCGATAATTGGTTGATTTATGGGGACATGACACCATATTATTGGTTCAAGTAATATTATATAATTAATTTTAATTGGATTAGTAGGGGACAGACGAAAATGCTTTATTTTAAGCAGCCCAAACGGTGCCTGCCTCTTAAACTTTTACTACTTTTGTACCCGTCCCGTTGGCCGATTGAGTTTAATTTGATTATTTATGTTAATTAAGCTAATTCGTTTAGATTATTTATGATATTTTGTTATGTTTTTGTAATATATTATTTTGAATAATTGTTTCCGACATGTGACTTCATTATTGATGGTTGAACTATTGCATAACATATTAAGCAATCACTTAATACTCAGTCAACAATTTTTTTTTGTTTTTCGCGAAGGCAATGCATGTTTTAAAGTTAATGTACTCAACTCTTAATAGAGGAATGAGACTTTACCACCGGGCTGTGAAGTGCGTGGGTGGCCGAGCGATGAAAGCCTTACAATTTAAGGAGGGAAATAAAATAATTTTTCATAATAAATGGCGCATTTCATTCGGCTAGCAAATGGAGACAAAGCGTCACCCAATGCATCCAATTTTAGAAGAGAATTAATAATATATTTTTATACAATAATGGGTGAAGGGCTGAGAGCTCAACTATAATATTAAGTAAGGATTCTATATATTTGTGATATATTCTTTTATTAATTGAAAAAGGAGATAATAAAATTAAACACACGGTTCTTTACCTCTTGCTTTCCTTTCTTATATTGTAGACTCTATTTTTCTTAAACATCATGGGCATAGTTTTCACTTTCTTAATGTTTTTTTTATATAGAGATGCATATTAATATGCCTAATAGATTCTATCTACAAATATTTTTGTTGAGATATCGACATTCTTGTAAGGGCTTTTAGCCCAATGGCTTGTCTCCGGCCATAGATAGCTAATGAGAATGAATGTAGAATAAAGCTAGGGTTAGGGTTTCGTAGTCTTCTGTGTGTATATATATACGTACCTTTGTGTATACTGTCAGATATGAGAAATAAGAGAAGTAGATAGCATGGCAGTGGACTAGTCTTGTTCACAACAAACAAGGAAACCACGTAAAATCCGTCTCGCCCCTATTTGTTTCGATCATTGCTATTATGTTTTGGTTATCAATTTTAGGTAGATATAATCTAAAATTTAGAAAGCATACTATCAAATGAATTAAGTACAATAGGTAACTCAAGGGCCAAAACTTCCATTCCAAATGAATTGCACAAAAAAAAAGCAAGTACAAAATTCATCCCCTAAATGCTAAATTAATTCTATGATAATAATCTTTTCAAACATAATTATAATCCTACTAAGGTACCAAGAAAAATAAACATTATACAATATACGTGTGGATTTGATATAAACAGCTGCAAAAAATGAAGATAAGAATAATATTAGTCTTGAAATTTCGAATAAATCAAACCAACTAAATAAATAATAAAATTGAATTCATACATTTAACAATTGTGTGAATGATATATTGCTTGCAAAAGATGTAGATTCCAAATTTCTCCAGCTGAACTAATAATAGATCTTTGTTCATCACCTAAAATTAACCAATTGTTAAGATATGATTCATATGATATTTTTAGATAACTCATTATAAAAATACTATCAGATTTCTTTGAAATATAAAACAAATGATGGAAAACTTGATTTTTCTGTATTTGTAGTTCAGTGCTACTTACCGAGAAGAACTAGTTTTCACTTTCTTACCCTGTATATAATAAATAATGACTAACTAATATAAAATAATAGTATAATAAATTTATATTATAGAAACAAACAAGGGGAAAAACCTTTAGTTTTGATTGAACTTTATCACTTTTTTATCGCTTTAATGCACCTTTAATTCTTCATTTTGGTCATCCAAGACCAATGGTAGTTTTGATTTAACTCCAGCTACAGTTGGATATTCTTCTTCATGATTAGAACATAATATCTCATTAAATTTTCCACCATTTGAGCACATCTTAATTTCCTGCAAATCTTTCAGCAAATTTGAAAAAACTTCACTTGCATGCTCATACATTCCGTCGCTCTCAGCTGCCAATGTAGATATCTCTCAAAAATTATAGTGCGAATTGAAGTAACGCTTCCCTATGAGTTTCTCATAACTTCCCTGCACTCAAACTGAACTTCTCATATCGCCATCTTTTGCATCCTTTGTCCATCTCTTTGATATGTATTACTTTGGGATGTGCTTTATATTTTTCTTGTCAATAACCTTCATAGCATGAGCACATAAAATCCTCACAAACTCAAACTTCATGCAACTACATTCAACTGCTTGATATGAAGACTCAAACCAGACATGATGCCCTACACCTCTACCAGCATATTTCACTTTATATTCCGCCCGACCTTCAGTGCAACTACATTCAACTGCTTGATATGAAGACTCAAACTCAAACTTCATGCAACTACATTCAACTGCTTTCAGATATTCTTCTTCGAACAACATAAAGACTTTAGGAGTGTACAATTCTGATGCGTGCCTTAACATCTCGACGTCAGCTTTTAACACAGGGCGGGTGTCCCTCATTTTGAACTATGAAAGTAGTTCTTGGTAGCTTCTATATTCTATCAACTTGTTATAGCGGTGAAAAAGTATACCATATTGTGTTTCGGCTGCAGATACTTCTTTAACACACTTTTAATTGATTTACTGCGCTGTGTACTTTTCATATCAGCAGTAAACATATGACGTCCATAAACTATGGCCCACTTTTCTTTTACTGAAAATATAACACCATGCAACCATTCATTGTTCCCCATACCATACTTGTTAAGCATATCATCCCAACCTGTAATCCATTCATCTTCATCATCATATATACATGAACTAAAATCATTAACGAATTGGTCGAATCTGTGAAACACATGGCTCAAGTGCTTAGCAGCATTTTGATAAATATGTCAAACACATAAACGACGATGAGTTTCAGTAAATACCTCTTTGTTTGCTTTGACCCTAACAACTTATTGATTTGTCAATATTGTCTTAGGTTGCTTTTCATCCATTGCACCCAAAAAACGCTTCAAACAACCACTTGAAGGAAGTGATTGTGTCATCATAGAGTAACGTTGTCCCTAAAATTATCGTCTGCTTCATATGATTTACTCCAACAAATGGAGGAAAAGGTCGACCATATTCATTAGTTCTATAAGTGGTATCAAAGCATAGAACATCTCCAAAGTACTTGTAGTCAGTGATTGACCCACCATCAACCCAAACATATTCATGATAAAATCATCATCATCAAATTGCACCGAATAAAAAATTATAGATCCTCTAATTGTGCTTTACAAAAATAATCCATAATTTTCAGACCATCTCCCTTAATGATTGTAGCCTTTCTTTGTGTCACAATATAGATTCTATAGTCTGAATCGAGAAACTCGTTGTTTTCACGACCTCCATTCTGAATTGCTAGTAAGTCAATAGTTGCCTTGATTGGTAACCTAGCTCTCTCATCATCATCTGCAACAGCCTTATGAGCATAACTTATCTTCCTGTTGGACCTCAACATATGCTTCATGGGAGTGGTGGCAAGTTCATGGTAATGATCTGCTTCAAAAGAAACAACCTCTAGCAAGCCTTCAAAGGAAACAAACATCCGATTCTTGAAATTGGTCGCTCAAAAGCCACATGCTCAAGCCTTTCATCACAACCTTTTTTGCCTTCTTTTGAACAGCAAAATATATTTCTCTTCACTTTCCCTACTTGATTTTGCTTTATATAGTCTTTCCTTGCACTGAAACCAATATTGCAGACATATGCTTTATAAAATTCATAAGCACTATCATCACCATCGAACTTCATATTTGTACATGACACTTCAACTTTTTCCGCACTTGTTTTAGAACTCATATGTGTTCCTCTTCATAGGGAATCCAAGTTTCACAAAGTAAACCTGCATAACACAAATCAAAAGATAACAAATTGAATTAATATTAGCCTAATGAACTAATGCCATCATAGTATATAAAGAAATGAAATTTTTTTGTTTCATATATGTTGGTTGTGTATGTAGACACCACATTTTGTTCGGGATAATCATTCTCCTAACAAAAATATTGATTGTAGCATTGCGCTACAATTATATTTGAAAATAAAGTGTAGTCGATATTGGTTGAGACTAGCAGTGACGAGTCAATATAAACTAATAATAATTATAAATTTAAAATCATTAGGAATTTAGTACACTCATGGTTTGGGATTCAATATAGATTACAATTAATGGAAACAAAATCATGAAAAATAAAATATACTTTGCCATTAGATTTCTTACATTGTACATTGCTTCAAGAATTACATCTATGATAATGAAAGAAAGATCGTAATTACATACAATTACAAGAGAGAACTACAAATAAAGTGGAAACACGGAAAAAAATCATTGGCTTATAATATTAATTAATCGGGTCGTGAAAAAATTCAAGCTTTGAGACATAAATCAGGTCCCTTGGCCCAGCTTTTTTTTTTTTTTACTCTACCAAGCCCAGGTACCTGCAAAAAAATCAGAAGAGACCAATTAGAAAAAAACAAAAACAGATTCGAAGCCCAATTCGTTCCCAATTGTTTACCCAAAGGCAGGACTAGTCTAGGCCCAACATAGATCCACACCAGAGCCCAACTCGGCCCATCTCCATGACCAACTCTATCCAGAACCGACTTCATTGAGGACACCAATATGGCAGGTTCAACCTCAAGGAAGAACAATAAGAATGTGACATCAAGGCATTCGTTTTTTTGCTATAAGAATAGCTTTTCAGCTCTTGCTTTAGGGGGACGAGAAAAAAAAAACTCTACAGAAATACAGATCAGAAACACTACCTTCTTTTCACTCTTAGAGGAAGTTCAGTTCACAGTGTACGATCGAGGAGGAGAAAAGGATTTTCAGAGGTGCAAGGATCCACCATCTAGAGATTTGGAAGGAGTAGCTTAGGCTCAGGGATTCGAACCAGGTTGGTAACTTGCAAACTTTCTTCTTATTTGAATCCGTTCCATATCCAATTTTCTTTGCTATATTACTTCCAATTACTACTGTTCAGTGAGCAACCTGTTGCTATCAATACTTGAATCATGATCTTCTCGTTCAAATACTCTCTTATTATCAACTATCTATTTACTTTCCAAGCTATTTACTTGCTACGCCTATTTGATACCCCTATTTTACAAAGCTCTATGCTCAAACAAGTCTCCTAGTTTACTTTATGTGTAATCTTACTTTTATTACACTAGTGCCTTAGATTTCCTCTTTAGCATACAATCAAAAGGAAGTAAGCTAAAATTGCTTTTCAGAAGTCCATGGATTAAATTAAACTAGATCCAGATCCAACTAAACACAATAAATTCAGATTTTGAAAACCCACAAATCAACCATACTCTATTAAAAATCGCAAGCAGTGACGGCAATTCATAGGAGTTAACATAGAGTTCATAACCAACACCATAAACACATTAATATTCAGATTTCAAAAAAACCAGCAATAAAGTCCATAATCTAGCGACATCACAAGCAGTAGCAGTGATTTATAGTCCTTAGTATGGCAAAATCACAGACAGAGCTAGTGATTTACAATCACCAAAACTAACAATTTACAGCATGTTAATTACTTCCCATGATAGAAAATTCTATTTTTAGCAAATTCTAGCATATCAAAACTATATCTGAAACCATCCATCAACCCCATCAAAACGTCAAAATACCAGATAGTTAAAATTCATTCACAACCTTATTTTCAAATATTCGGACCTGCAAATCAATTAGATCTACCGCAGAATAATCCGTTTTTTAGTTTTTTAGATCTCTCAATCCCAAACTGATCCGAGTTTAGAGGAACCTACCTAGATCTGACTTTTATTTTAAAACCTGCAACAAAAGAGTAGAGGTCAGGATAGATTAAAAAGGTAATAAATATAAAGTAAAATTATCTAAACCTAAATACCTCACCAATAAAGGTCGTCGGTAGTCTCTGCGGCGTTAGTCACCGGTCGCCCTCCACCGGTCGCCAACGACTCCCTCTCTATCTTCCCTCTTCTCGACCAAATCCCTAGTCCAATACCAAAACAAAGAAAAAACATCAGAAATCCATATCTCAGAAAATCGAACAAATACGCAAACCAAAATCTTACCTAGATCTCGTTCTTTTTCTTTCTGGCCGTCGATCGTCATCATCGACGAGATAAACCCCCCTTCGTCGGAGTTCCCATTCTCCTCCCCTCATCCGAAAGCAAAGCCCATAATAAAATAAATCAGCACTCGGTTTTTGAAGTAGAAACCCAAAAAAGAACGAGATCCACTAGATTATAGTTAACGAGGTTCAAACCCCCGTGCTCGGTATTAAACGCGCCCTTCTTCTGGCGGTTTTAACTAGTTGGGCTGCTGGCCCATCCTGCATAAATCTAATCATCCTCTTTCATTATATCTATTAATCCTTAATACGAAATTTTGAATGCGTATTATGTTAATCCCATTTCTTTTCTAATACATGAAATCTCCTCTTAATAACTGAAATCCTTATATTCTCTTTTCATAATTTCATAATAATCAACTTAAATTTTATTAACAAAAAATCTTTCATACGAGAACCACGATCAGCGGAATATGGTAAAAATTATATCTAAAATTATCAAAGTTTTAACGAACTACGTGGACTTTGATCCCGTATTACAAGTACGTAGGCAACCAACAAGGTTCGAGTCCAACTAATCGACTAACTTTATCTTTGAATTATACGTCAGTGGGAGTATAATCAAATCCAACTAACTGATAAAATTTATTTTTGAAATGAACGCCACTGGGCGTATGATCAAAATTATAAACCAATACTATAAAACTCTTTAGCGGTCCAATGGTACTCGAAAAATACATAAAATACACCCAACTCGTATAAGACTTATCAACTTAAGCAGTACCGATTTAGGGCGTTGTGGGGGTGTTGCTTAACTTCCTCACACGTAACCGTACTCCCGAACCCATATCTCTTAACCGTAGAGCAAGCCTCGGTTCTGACCTAAGATTCGAACCGATCGATAAGTGTTCGATCCACTCCAAGTAAGATCGATGGTGACTCCAAAAAGCGAACGTGACCCGACTCCGAAGGGACGGTTGCGACAATGTACACTAATAACTAATAACAAAATAAAGTCATATTAAAGCAAAATCAGCTCATATTTCATTAAACTAGTTTTAGATGAACTCCTAGAATCCAAAGGAGAAGAGGCTGGAAATTATATCTTACCTTTTCAACTTGATTGGGAGGTTTTCAAATCTCGGATAAGCTAGCGTTGAAAGGCAGTCAGAGTAGTGGTAGAGACGATTAACGCATGCAGTCTTCCAATTGCGGACGTTGAAGGAGTTGAAGGGGATTGCGAAAGGGATACAAGAGCTAGGAAGAAACCGGCGCTGAACAGAGATGTTGAGAAGACAAGATGCAATCGCCAGCGATTGCGTGTTAATGACTATGCAATAAAACCTAAAGGGAGTGCTCCTCTTGTGTTTAATTTTATTATCCCCTTTTTTAATTAATAAAAAATATATCACAAATATGATAGAATAAAAGTTAAAGAGGCACACACCGTTTGGGCTGCTTCTCCGTCTCGTCCAAGAAAAGAAAATGTTTTCATCTCGTACTAATCCAATTAAATTTAATAGTTAATTAATATTGCTTGAACCAATAATATAGTGTCACGTCAATGGGTAGCAACGATAGGCTGCAACCCTAACAACAGCCAATTA